ATTTTTGTCTTCTTTCAGCACCAATCGCACGTTTTAATAATACAGTTACATCTGATGTTTCATCAATGTTCATTGTTTCACAGGTAGAATTATTGTTTATTTCATCATTACCTAAAACATTTACTATATTAGAATCAATATCCATATCAATTCCATTATCATTATCACAATTTGTATTGAAATTAATTATCCATGGATTGTTATTATCGAAACTATTATTATTATTATTATTATGACTATTTATGAAAAGCTCATGTTCGCAAGTTATTGGTTCATTTTCAATTTTTTTTAGAAAACGCCAAACTAATAAACGATTGTGTAATGAAGCTTCTATCGGCCGTTGACGTTGGCTTATTGTTGAACGTTGTAACTAGGAAAATAAAAATATAAAAATGTTACTTTATTTACTTGTATTATTTTATTTTATATACACACACCTTTTCATACGATAATAAAATATACAATTGTATTAATTCTGTTTGATTTGTCATTGTATGTGCAAGTGTTACGAGATTAGAATTGTAAAAGAATCTTAAAAAATGACAAACAAATGATTTTATTGTAAGTTTTCTTTGCTTTTAAAGACAGATTCAATTGCATAAGAATCTATAAAAATATTGCGACATAATGAAATGAATAAGTATTATATAGTTAGGACATTTCTTTTTCCCAATACATGATGAGTCATTTAATAAACATGAAATTTTACCTTAACCTACATAGAACAAGAGACGGAAGAAAAATAACCAATAATAATAAATAAGAAAAATGTTTTGAATTAAAAGAAATTCTTTTTTGAAAATTTTATATTTTTATATGAAATAAAAAAAAATCGCGAAGGTTTTGATTATATATGAAACATATATGAATCAGATAATGCATTAATGCACTTTGATATTGTTTGGTTGCTATGGTAATTGATTGTAGAAAACATTTGAAATGACAGCACTGTTGAATTCGGTAAGATAGGACGAGAAAAAAAGGTATGTTCATCTTCTGATCAAAGTAAACCATGAAACGAAAAATAGAATAGTTTTATGAAAATATCTGAAGGAATTCAATATGAAATACTATTGATATTATCTCAATAGTGAACAAGATTTTCTCTTGTTTCAATCTGTGATGTTCTATGAATCACTTGTCTTATGGATGGCAGAGTCACCAGTAGAGCACATCGGTTCTAGGATCAACCCGACAGACTCTAGTTACAAGGCTTAGATATACTGAAACCTACCCAATATTAAAGTACAATAGGTTAGGATAAGCTCAAAGATTTGGTTCTCTTGTCACTAGACTGATACGTTTATGGAATACATCGAAATTCTTATATAAAGATCAAAGTTTTTCACCCCTTTAGCAGCTAACAGTAACATTTTCATAGTGAAGCATTCTTAGCAAACATTGTTGAGGAAACATTCACTTTTGAACCCTACGTTGACAATGACTTGAAGTAGTAACTCGTGTGAAACAATCGAAGAAGAACAGTACGAGGAACTCAAGTTAAATAAACTAAAAGCTGTTGACAGCTTTCTTTGTCTTCAGTAACTAAGCTTCCATACGTAGGAAATATTTTTAATAAAGCAGGCAAACTAACAATGTTATTTCTTTTTTTTTTTGTGAACGCTGCTGCTTCATCATTATTCTGTTTTTCGGTAAAATAGATCGAAAACTCTTCTTTTCCGAGTAAAAATTAGATAAAACCAAATGTTAGCATATTTTTTTTAGTATACATCTTTTGACGCAACTGTAAAGTGTTTCTGTATCGTATCGACTTCATAGAGTCTAAAATATCAGTTGGAAACAAGAAGCATTAACTGTATTTCATTTGAATCATATAAAAAGAGCCGCCCTTCCATTTTCCCATTCTAACTGTCCGGTGGTATTGCTCATAAAAGTTACTGAGCTTACTTTAGATTTAAAGCTTTGCGTTGCCTATGTTCTCTCTTAATATTCATCTATATTCGTATCCATAAAAGACAACAAAATAAATGAAAACGAAAAAAATAGACCTTTTTGCGCACAGAAAAATATAAACTTTATAATTTTTTCTGTTTACCCAGTATGAAACAAAAAACTTCTGTTCCTTATAATAAAACAAAACATTTGAGTGTAAGATGAAACTAATTGAAAGCAAATCAATATTGATAAAAACCATAATCTTTTAACAAACAGACATAATTTTATCTTAAGAGTGAATTCGGTATATCAAAATGACAACCAGCACATATCCGGACATAACACACAAAAAACCAGTTCCAGAAAAATTCAAGTAAAACTTCTCTTAAAATTTGTTTTCATAATCATATATTTATTGATTTTCTAAATGAAAAATCTAGTCCAAACAGTTATCGTGTAATATCTGAAGAAGTTCCTGAACATGAAAACATTCCATTTTGGTATGGTCACTCTCGTCCACCAGCACTTTATACAGAACCGAATTCCAATCAATTACCAGCACAAGGATCAGAAGCACGAAACAATCCACATGCTGGACGCAAAGTTGATATGGTTTATTCAAATGCAGCAAGTTTCAATGCTCCATTTGGTATTGTCAAAACTGATAATGTTAAAAATGAAGAATCACGTTGGTGGGATTGGTCACAACCAACAGCTGAACCTTATGGACCAGGAGCAAAAAGTCAAGATGAATGGACGAAAATAAAAGAAAGTTCATATCGAAATGCGTTCAATATTGCTGGAGAAACAGGACCTTACGCAAAGAAAAATACACGTTATTCAGCTAATCCATATCATATACGTACAGTGGGAATCGGTAATCAAAATTATTCTAAAATTCAAAAGTTTAAATAACGAAAACTTTTATTTAATTTAGTACCTATTACTGATTTAAAACCTGAGAATCTTGAATCAGTTAATCAAACTCTAGTTGAAAAAGTATCGTTCGAACAACAATATAACAGTCGAAATGCAGCAAATTATCCTCTTCGTGGAAGAGTAAGCGTTAAATTCTAATTTTTATATATATGTATGTATTTTTTTTAATTTTCAAATTAAATATTTCATAGCGGCATGGTGCATTAGTCATTGAAGAACAAAAACCTAAAGTAAATCTACCTACACAATCTGAAATGACATCATCAGGAAAAATTGAACGAGCAGCAAGTATGTGGGATTTATTTCATCCAACGGACAATTTTCGTGGACAAATACAAAGTAATCCGTATAAATATCGTCGTCCATTACCAGAAATAAAACGTACACAAGAATATGGTCAAGTTTGGCAAGGTGCTCCATATGCCAATGATTATCAAGTTGATCAACGTTGTCAATCACCACCTACTATTAAACAAGTCAATATCGATTGATCGAAATGATTTTTTTCTTCCGATTGGTCAGATTTTATCTTGTTACTTTCTAACTATTTCTTTCTACTGTGTGATATAATCATTTTATTTCCCTTCCACAAATTCTTAATCATTCTTTATTCATTTATCTAAAAAACAAAAAGAAATAGAAATGACTTTTTCTTTATCAAATAATTTACAGATTTTTTTTCTTAATGGATCTATTTCAATCATCCACATTAAAAACACTTTTCGATCCACCAACAGGTGACTTAATATCAGGACTTGAAAGTATTCAATTTAAAACATTATGTCCTGGTGAATATAATGATTTATTTATTCAATTACGTCGTCGTTCAAATTTATTAACAGCAGCACATATTGCCCATGCATGTCACTTTGTTTCACTTGCTAATCGTATCAAGTAAAACAAAAACATCATTTAGTGTTTTATTTAAACAAATCTATCTTAGACGTGAAGGTGAAAAATTAAAAGGTACACCAGATAAAAAACGAAGTCATCGTCTTATGGCTGAAGTACGTCGAGAACCAGGTCTTAAAATTGGTATTATTGGTATTGGACGTATTGGACATTTACTTGCCACATTTTTGTTAAAATATGGAGATGTTTATCCAGACGAATTATGTCTCGTAAGTATTAAATTTAATATTACCTAAATCTTAATTAGTTTATCATTTTAATGAATAGAAATTTTTCTTCGAATGTTTAATAATAATTATGAATTAGTTTATTTGTTTGTTTTTTTTAGTCAAGTCGACAAGCTGATTTATTAAGTATGTAAATGAATTTTTACGAATTTTGTTTTTTTCTTCAATAAAAAAAATTCTTCTAGCTGATATGGTTCAGAATGGAGTAGGATTTTGTAAATTTAATAATGCTTATATTGTTCAACGTTGTGATATTGTTTTTCTATGTGTTGCACCACATCATATTCGTTATATAATTGATGATATTCGTGATCGTATCAAACCAAATGTTCTTATCTATAGTCTTGTGCTTGGTTTTCCAGCACTTAAACTTACTTCATTATTAAAACATACTTTGTTTATTAAACCATCATATCAATGGAGTGAACTTATTGATAAAGATGAATCTCTATGGCCAATAGCTGATGACATTGAGAGTGTACTTAAACATGATATACTTATGAAAAGAATTAGCCTAGAAAATGAAGATCAAAATGGTAAATTAAAGACTAATTAGTAATTCTGATCTTTGTTTATGTTATTTATATAGATAGCCTTGTACGCGATGATCAACTTGTACCAACAATATTCTATGCTCTATTAAATATTTTAAAACAAAATGCATTATTAAACAGAATTCAATCATTAAAAGTTCTTTCAGCATTATTATTTAATAATTCAAATATTGATTTAATCATTGAAAAATTTGATACTATTGAAGCAAATAATGAGTAAAAAACGAAGAAATTTTTTTTTTGAAATGTTATTCTCTGTGATTTCATTTCTCATTATTTTATAGATATTTTCCTGATTTTGATCTTGTTCATTTGGCAACAAAAATAACTATTATTCGAGATTTACTTGATCATAATACAAATCTACGTCGTTTATTTTCAGAGACATTTATATCACATTTTACTCAATTTAAATCAAATTATTAATAGAAATAAAAGCAAAAACAAAACACATCGTCTATCAACAGAACATTTATTCTGTTGTATCAGTTTGAATACTTGTTTTAAATAATTCAAATAAAGCTGTAACAATTTCACCTGTTATAACTTCATTTGTATTCATTTTTAAAATATATAAAACAAGTATACCATCTCGACCAAGATAATTTGTTAAAAAATTTGTTAATAAATGATCTTCTTCATTTGGTATCGAACATGGGACAATTGTAGGTACGTGTATTGGCTGCGGAGTTGATGGTGATGGTGGTGTTTGATCATCAGCTGATGATGCTGTATTTATGTCCGTATTTTCTGTTGTTGTTATTGGAAGATTTAATTGATCATGTACACGTGACAAACGAACTAAATCAAAATTTGTTTTTAATGTTCGACTAGCAAATGATGATAAAAGACCATGATGAGGATGTCCCATATGTAATGAACCATAATGACTACTACCTGTACCATAATGTGAATGACTAAATGAATGACGACGATGATAATTTGAATGATGAAGAGGATAAGAATGATATGGAAGATAACGATGTTGTTGTTCTTGAAATGGATTTTGAGGAAAATGATGAATATTTATACGTTTCATTGATGATAAATAACGCATTATATGTGATTTATAAAATTTTGGATAAAAAAATGAACTTATCCAATAAAGAAAACCAAATAATGTACATAAAGTTGTAAAATAAAGCCAAAACCATATGATTAAAAAAATTTTTTCATTAAATAAATTTATTGGTAAACTACATTGAACTGTATATGTATGGATATTATCTGCTAAATTTCGTACGGCAAAATTACACCTAAAATAAAACAATAGTTTCTTTGTTTTTACTTAGAATTTCATAATATGTGTCTAATACATAAGAAAAACGAAAACAATTTTATTATGAATATTTTAAGTGTTTCAAACAATGTTCGTTTTATTACAAAATTATATGAGTCAAAAGAATGAGGCTTATTGTGCGAATAGCTTATAGACTATACACATACCTAAACAGTGATTATTAATAGTGTCCTATAAGTTCTGGACCTCAACGAATTTAGTTTGTCAGTAAATAAATAGTGATCCCTATCTAAAGATATCTATATGAACTTCCAATACTTAGAACGATTCTTCAAATGGCATATTATTCAATGTCATTACCCTTTTTAATAATAGTGATATAAATAGGACAAATAAGAGAATATAAATGTGGGTATAGAGAATAACCACACTCACATATTAGATATTGCGCATCGCTTGGTATAATTGTATTATGTTACATATGATGAAACCATTGTTCATTAAAACTTCTGTCAAACTACTGGTCGATTTCGAGATTTTAACTGTCACATTTCTTCTGTTTATATCACTATTATTATAAGAGATAAAATCATCGGGCTAGATCAAATTGAAAACAACATCTCAAATACTCAAAGATCATTTATATATAGTCGGATAGGACTTACTCCTTGTTTTCATATAAAGTAATTTTCGTTGAAGCCCAAATCTTAGGGAATACCTTTTATTCTAGCCTCCTAAGGTTTGTAGTTATTGTATCACATATTATAAGTCTTTGCTACCAGACATAGGTGTTCGCCTCTCCAAAGTTTTAAGCCATCCTTCGGAAAGAGAAAATCTGGATAAACACTGGTCAATGGCAATCTTTTTCCTTTCATCTCTCTTTCTCAATCATCTTATTGGCATATGTTAATAGAGATGGTTGAGCAAGAAAGATAAAAGAAAAGAGACCACTGCTGATAACAGATAAACTTGCACAAAGCTATTGTCTTATGCATGTGCATGGTCAGCAATCAATTTGTGAATAAGACATATTGCTGTTAATTAGATAGAGATTACGTTTACTTTAGGGTGGTAAAGACTTGAGAGAAAAAAAAACAATTGAAGCATCATTCATTTCTCTATACTGATCTTGACGAGTGTCATTTGAAGAAACATTCAATTAGTTTTATTTTTGATTTAGATTTGTTTTTGTTCACAATAAGAAAAATTATAACTTTCAATTCTATTTTCTCTGACTCAGTGTTTATGATTTATGAACTGTTTATTACTTTTTTAAAAATGCATCTGCAATACGATGTTCATAATGATGAGCACAGTATCTGCTATTAATTTGTATTAACTTTATTTTCATTCGCGAACTATTTCTCATTAAAAGAGAAAAAAAAAGATTGCTTTCTTGTTCTATTTAAACATACCATGTAACTCGAGGAAATCTTGGTGTTACTGTCCAATTCTCATTATTACCAGTGAACAAAGCCTTTATGACAGCAAAGCCATACATATGATAATCATTGCCAAGAAAAAAATTGAGCAAATATAATTGTCCAAAAGCATTGAGCAAATAAAGAAGTTTAGAAAATAAAAAAGACCACATTAAATGATTGTCACGCATTGTTATATGATTATTTAATAAAAAAAATGAATATATAGATGATAATGATGAACATTTTATTGAACGCAATTGATCAAAGTATTCTAAACGTTTATGTCTATGATATTCAAGTGCCTTATCAATAAAACGTGCTAAATGACGAATAGATGTGTCACGAATATCTGATGTATATGTATCAATAATACGAGCATGAGTTACAAGCATACTTAAATCATAACCACTTTTAGAATTTAATGATGACCATATAAGTGATGGAATATAGAAAAGTACAGCTTGTACCATAAGAATAAATGGTACATATTGGTAAAAATAAATAAATTGTTCAGTTTTTGGATTTGGATGTTTTGGTAAAAGACGATCAAATGAAACAAAATACGTATTTGATATCCAACATACATTATTTGTATATTCAACATGTGTACCAGTAAAATGTGCTGGACAAAAACAAGCTATTGGTTCACCAACATATTGTTTTGTTGATACAAGTACAGTAAATATGACAAGAAGAATAACAGAATAACGGCGAGATAAACGATCATAGAAATCATCATCATAGGCACCATCATGTCCATGATGAGCGACTTTCGCAGCGAAATCAAAGAGGAAAACAGCCATGCTAAAAAAAACAAAAGACAATGTTTATCTATATTAATAGACATTTAAGAGAAATTGAAATGATTAAAAGGTAAATAGAGACATATAGAGTGAACTTATACATATTTTTACATTTTTTTTGACTTTCCAGTTCAATTCTATATATTTGCCATTTTACTAGATAAAAAAATAATTTCTTCACAAATAAGGCAATCCAAACAGTTTTCTTTCATATGCCATTTGTTGTTGAAAAAAGACTACGTCAGTTTTTCTGAGAGCCCTACTACCATTGTATATTTGCTTTCGATTAGGTCGAATATATAATACCAGCTATACTAGTATATTAGTTTCTTCTCTTCGATACAAGTGAACAGCTTGTTTCGACCGAAATTCAAGGTTTTCGACAACAACAATCGGTTTTAATCCTACCGAGATGGTTGTGCCATTCTATACATGACGAAAACATCCTAATGAGTCTACCTAGGGGTTCACAGATATATTACCTGTCATATCACACTTAGTATAGTTGCGAATCTCTTGGAAGACTCACTAGAATGTTTTCGTCCTACAATAAAATAAAACAACAGTACTCTATTAATCTCAGAAGAATTAGGTCAATTGTTGTTTTCGAAAATTTTGGTGATTTTATTTAGTCACCCAAATCGAGAACGATTGTATAATTGTCATGGAATTTTCGGAAAAACCTGGCGTAGGATTTGCTCTTGACAAAAAAAAACGATAAATGAAAGAAAAATATTTGAGCTATCTTATTTGTGAAGAAATCGTTTTGCTATCTTTTAAAATGACAAAGATACAGAGCTCAAAAGTACAAAAATATGTATATATTCATCCCATGTGTCTCTATGGAATGCCTTGAAGAAATTATTTATTTATGTTCTTAATGACTTACTGATTAATAGAACGTGAGATAGAACCTCGACTGAATATTTGCCTTTATCCCTCTATTGATATTAGATGATAATTTCTGATTTATTGATGATACTTCATACAGAATATTGTTCTTATATCACTAATCAGATTTAATAAGAGTCAATGAAAGTTTACATCATTCATGATATTCACTACATTATTCTTTCATTTTTATTAGTCATTTTCAGAGTCATCAGCGAACTAAACATGCCTGCTTTTCTTCTCTATGTTCTATCTTATGACAAGTCGAACATAAAATCATATTAATTTTCTGTATTAATTATAACAACGGATTATCTCAATAATCAAATACAATTTAGCAATGCTTATTTTGTTATTAACAGAAAAATTGTATATGTCATCAGAAACTTTTCTTATGCCTTTCATTGAAGAGTAATTACAAATAGGTTAGTAATCATCAAAAATCATGCAACATACTTTAGTCTTCTCAATTTCCTTTCTTCGAATCATTATTTAAAAATGTCAAATAAAGATTTGTAGGATTTAACAAATGAATATATTTGAATAATATATTTAAATAGAATTCAATGATATAATATATAGTTTATTTAGTAATTCTAATTATATTCGAAGCTGTGATAGATTAATTTACTCTTTTTTCTTGTTTTTTTTCTCTTTTGAAGTTTTCTGTTCATTTATATAAGTAGATTATATATCGTATTTCTATTGTTTTATATTGTGTTTATAATCCGACTTATCGATGCAGATTAAAATATCATAAAAATACTCTCTAAGTAATGCATGTTATCCATCAATTTTGTTTGCCAAACAGAAATCGATCAACAAAGTCACGATTACAAAGCATAGTTAAATGTTCGATTTCTAAGTTGTACTCTGTATCGTTAAAGAATGTAAAGGTAAAATTCTATTTCAAAATAATTGATACATATAAATAAGTCAGATAATCAATCAGAATATATATTATTATGACAAAGAAAAAAATTTTAAATGAAAATAATTCCCATGGTTCACTTTGAATCTAATTAAATTTATTATATATATATTATAGTTCTTTTCTTTTTCTTTTCCTATGGTTCATTAGTATTTCTTGAATAATGATGATTGTATCACGCGAGTGTTAATTAAAAGAGACTTACTTTTCCAATGCCTCCAAGACCCACCAATGGAACATGATGATTGAAAGTAATATTTGTACTGTATTTGATTAATATCAAGATTCAAGTTTGTATCTGTTAAAATTTACTCTAAATTATTAACAAAGAGAATTAGACGAGTAGAACAAAAAAGCACTAAATGGGAGAAATAGATATATATGTATATGTATACAAAAGAATGAAATCTAGAAGAAGAAAGAGAAAAAAAGAAAAGAATTTGCTATTATAATTGTTGCACTTTTTTCTGAGATGCCACACATTTATCATTAGTATTTAATGAGTTTCTAACTAAGATTTCTTCCGTTGCCTGTGTGAATTAATGTTATTCTTCACAGTGGTTTGTGTCTATAAGCATGTTACACTCTACTATTCTACTTTTTTTCTTCTCTCTATCTCATTCTCCTTTTATTTTACGCTTTCACCCATTATCTATCCATTTTTCTATCTGTGAATCTACATGATTTCTCAAGAGACATAATTTCGTTTTTGTTTTTTACATGCTGAGAAATAGGTGCATCTTAATATGTCATGGTGCATATAAGTAAAAAGTAGACAGATAAGCAGACTTGTTTATGATGTAATTGCCTAAGATGAAGGAAAAACTTGATCGAATGGCTATTAGTACAATGAAAAATAAGGAAAAGAAAAAGAAAGAGAGCAATGTCTATAGACAGCAAACTTAATAGAAGTCTGTTTCTTATTTTTTTTCTTTCTAGACAGACCATGGGATAATTAAGTTTAGCATAAACGATCGGTAACGAACGAGTGTAATCGAAAATTTTAAATATTCAACTAGAGTTTCTATTTTTGACTTATATAGATACATACTTGTTGCGATAAGGAAGAGATAGAAAAAAAAAATGAGAAATAATTCGCATGAGATAAATAGAAGAATTGTATGATGTAGAGCCCCTAGGAAAATCAATCATTATTTGATTACAGCTCATTTGTGATATTAGTTGCCTTCCTTCACTATTTCTATAAATTTATTAGTCGATGCCAAGTGAATACGATGCATAGATATATATATATGTGTGTGTGTGTGTGCATGTTTCCTTGTTCTATTTTCAGTCAACAACTATCTTTGAATGATGTTCGTGATCGTTACCCGAGATTGAAAGAAATACTTTACATGCATATAACTATTTGTTGGTTTCCATCTTGCTCGAGAAAAAGACAACGCATTGAAAACAAGTGGGTAAACACATATTGTTGATAAACCACTTGATGAGTATGTCGCATTACTACTGCCGATTCTCGACTCGATAGTAAACGAGAAGGAGAGAAAAAGAAGCTGACAAGAAAAGGACGAAACTCACACCGGAAACATCATGCAGCCTTAGAAAGAACTGTCATCATTTCACTATCTGAGCAAAGACAATCAAAGGCATACTTCCTTTCATTTGAAATGCACATTTTACTGATTGTATAAATTATTCTACAAGCAGGTGATTTTTTCTACTATGATCTACAAGTTTAGATATCATTGAGATAATACAAATCAAAATGCAATTCATCTTTCATCAATATTTCATCTATATATATATGTATATAATTGAATTATTTTATGAATCTTTTTCTTCAAGAAACAATCAGAATAATTCATAAAAACTAAACTAAGCATGTGTCTTTTTGAGGAAAATAACAAGCTAACAACAGATTGATGTGTAAGATAAAGCAAATTGAATGATGAAGATCTCATCTAGACCAAATATAAAAAGGAGAGAGAAAGAAAGAGGAAAGAAGATGAAGAACCAAAGTAGAAATCTCTTATACTTTAATAGCAGATATTATTTGTTTGCATAAATGGCCACAATGTAAAGAAAATGGAGCTAAAATACAGTATAGATAAAGAGAGAAGAATTTTTTTGTGCGTGCATAATTAATATGATTGAAACTTAGAACATTACTTCATTGTTCATGTTCAATGGAATATTACTCGACCGATATTCTAATCACCAAAATAAATTTTCTTTTCAACGAAGAACAAATAAAGAGAAAAAAGAGAAATTCTTTATTACAGATTAAATAATAAAAATATTATTTTCATAGAATGTATTTTTTATGACATTGTTCAATTAATTATACATATGTAAAAGAAAAGGAGATGAAATTTTTTTTTTTTACTGACAGCCATGACATTATATTAATTATGTAATAATATAATCATTCAAGTAAATAATTATGATTGTTGATTAAAACATTGTTTAAAGATTTCTTTTGACATTTTCAAAAATGTCACTTTTTCTTGAATCTTACGTGTATTAAGCAGATTTTTTTATTTTTTTGTGTTTATAATAAATAGAAAAGAAATAATCTATTTTATCAAGAAGAATATTATTAATAAATGTTCTTGTCAATATTTATGAATGAATTTTCTTTCATCATTACAAGATTAAATCATGATTACGTATCATTCAATCAATCAACTCTTACAACTAGTAGTTCTACTATTCCCTAATAAATTCAAATAAGATAAAATCATCACATTATGTCACAAAAGATAAGACGACAAGAACGTCCAAATTTCTAACAATTCATATCAAATGAAACAGAAGAATTTATCAATAAAGATAAGATCAGATATTTAACATAATTTCATGATGTAAGAAAACATGTTGATAAATGTACATCAATTCATTCTATTGCTGTTCAGTATTTTAAACAGCTAATTATATCATGACATAATATGAAAAAAAATTTCCAAAGCTTGTTTATAGAAAAAAATATCAAAGAAATAAAAAGAAATATTACGTCGGCTTTTTTTCTTTATATTTATCTGTCTATTTTTAGTTATATTAGCCATTGTATTTGTAATTTTACTTATGGTTCATTTTTCATAAGATACAATGAATAGAACAATTGTCTTTTTCTTTTATGAATAATTCATAAAAAGCATAAAAATTAAACGAAAAAAAAGAAAATTTCCATCACCATTTATTCATTATTTTGTTTTTTTTGTTTATTACGAGAATTCTTCATCCGTTTCAAAAACAGGACAACGACCACCAACACATGTATATTTTGTCTTATAAAAACTTGGATTAGACTCTTGACATCTTCAATAAGGACAGTTCGCTATGCATGCTGCTTTACAAGCTTCTGTACATTGATTAGGCTCTGCCTGAACATCGTAGTGAAGATCAACATTAATCATCAATAAAGATAAACAAAATACGATGAGGGAAAAAGTTGATAATAAATGCATTATGGAAAAGTTGTTCTGTAGAAAAGAAAAAACCAGTTCATATTTAGCAAACACAAAATAAATCACACCCACTAAGTAATTATTGATCGAATAATGAAAGTTATTATTACAGTAAATGAATATTGAAAAGCAATATATAGCCATTAAAAAAATAGTTGTCTACCTGCGCATCATACGCTACCCTAATTGTCAATACAACAATAGTTTATAGAGGCCGGTATCACATGATAGAATCATTAAAATCTAGTATGAGTAAGTAGTGTCATTTTTTCTATGATAGGAATACATGATTGTTTGTTGAATAGTAGAAAATAATAGCGGATATGGTATTAGTGTGTTAAATATCTAATGATATGATTGTCAGTTTTTATTTGATATGGTAATATACTTTTACATAAGATCGAATAGTAAACTCACATCCTAATCGTAACAGTAATTAGATCCACCGATTACCATACAGTGAAACTGACAGCAAATGATCATTCAGTTGTTTTTTTTTGTTTTTAGAAAAAAATCTACGCATCTATGTATTGTTGATTTCGGTCGTTTCTGTATAAACATTAAAATCATGTCCAATTTTATCAAGATTTTCAAATAGATACTCAGAAGTTCGGACACTGTTGAATCCTTATTTCAATTGCACAAAACAAAAAGAATTCATCAAAATTTCAAATGCTTGTAACAGTTTATGTATTTATACGTAGTTACAACCTGTATTATAGTTCAATAAATCATTGTGCTATACAGTATAACAAGAGAAAGAATAACAGCATATCAAAACCTCTTTCCCCACTCAAAAATCTAATTTTGACAGGGTACGTGTGATACTAATGAAACTTTGCATAGATGTCTGATTGATAGAACTACAATAATAAAAAAACCTTCACGGCTTCATAACTTACCGTACAGAAGATCTCCGAAGACCAAGCTGCAGAGCTCAGGTTGTATTTTCATTTGAAAGAGAACTCCTTATCACTTCAAATGACTGAAAGGAAATAATTTATTTTTAATTTGCTACATTTTTTTGAGTCCTTAAAACTTCATAAATCTCGAATTTTCAGGCATGCTTTTCTGAAATTGAAGATTAAACAGGAAATTCTTTTTCTCTCATATGAAGGACTATGCATATACTATCCATTAAAAAAACACAGCTCTCTACAATAAAGTGTATTGAAAAAACATTACCGCAGTTGAATCATTACTGAAAAAATCAATTGGAAGAAAAACTCAAAAGAAGCTTTTTTTTTTTACTCTTACTGAAAATGGAGGTGAAGCACAAATAAATTATATGTCAATCAAAGCACTGATTCATGTACATCAGATTGTTCTCATTCTACTTATATCACAATGAATGATGCTACCTACAGACTGGTTTACAATTGTGAAGTAATAGTGTCCTTTAAAATAGAGATGATTGCATAATATTTAAAACATTTCCTATATTAATTATAATTTGTTGTAAAAAAAAACAGACACATATGTTATATTTAAGAAAGCAAAAGTTTTAATAGTCTTTGTCGATTTTGATATACTTGTTGATATGATTGAGGATACATGAATATTGGTAACATAACTGTTTCATGATCATTCATCTGATTATTTGATTTTGGTTTTGTTCGTTTCTTTTTGATACGTCGATTAGTTTTTGGTTCTAAATTGAGATAAATAATTTTATTATTTGATACTTGATGACAAGAAAAAGAAAAATTTACGTCGTTTTTTGTTACTTTTATTTCTTGATGAAGATTTTGATGAGCCTTTCTGTTACGAATATAAGTTTTAATTTTATATGAATATGAAAAATTATTGAAAAGTATTGTCATAATTGTTTACTTTTTTTAATCTAGATGAACTTCGTTTTTTGTTTGAAATTTGAGATTTGTTTCGTTTTTTATTTGAGATTTGAGATTTATTTCGTTTTTTATTTTGAGTTTGAGATTTACTACGTTGTTTTGTTCTACTAGTTTGTTTACGCTTCTGTTTTGAATTTCGTTTATTTTTTTTGCTATGTTTTGAAGATGGTTTTTTCTTTTTTGTTGATTTTTCTTTACAAGAAAAAAAACAATCGGTTTTATTTATTTAAGAAGTTTGTACTTAATTGTGGTGTTTTATCGCCAATAATGGTTCTAGAAAAGTTAACTTATCATCTAATAAGAATAATCATATATATTGATTAATAACTCACACTTTCGATTTTTTCTTTGGTGATTTTATGTTTTCATTTAATTTCAATGAACCTATTACATATAAAATGAAACAAATTGATAGAAAGGTGACTATAAGTTTTTCGATATACTTTTGACTACAGAAATGAACATATGTTGGTTTCTAGAGTAAGAGTCGCTCTATCTAACAGTCTATGTTTTATCAGGTTCTGTTGCATATCGTTGACTTGTCAATTGATGGTCCTGCTTTCGTCTCGACCGCTGTAGAATACCGTGAAAGTACACTCATTCCCTGATATGTGAACGGTACGTAATAGAATTTGATAATAAATACACAATTATGGAAAAACGGAAAATGATGGACGCGAAAAACAATAGAGAAATTCATAAAAATAAGAATAAAAGCTTCAACTCAAATGAAAAAGCTGAGAAATTCAGGAGAAATCAAAAGTTTTCTGGTCTAACTTTCTTCAAAATTCATAATCCGTTTAGTCTATTTACTCCTGTTAACTCATCTAGCCTCTTTACTGCTTTTAAATCATTCAGTCTTTTTATAACATTTTTTGCAGCCAGGCATCCACAACCTCAACCATAACTTTGCATTCAACATCACCGTAAAGTCATCTTCATTCTTGCTCTTGCTTGGCCTATAGAGACTGAAGAGAGTACAAGAACAGAAAGGACTAAAACAGATTAATAAGACTAAAATAAGGAGGGGGATTGAAAAGCATTATAGACTCTAAAGAAAGTTAGATCGAGAAACTTTAGATTTCTTGTGGACCTATGATGTGAGCGTGTAGAGGAAAGAGGAAGTACCAGAAGTCCTACACGCACTGTTTAATTTAACTTTTTTGGCCGCTTACAGGTAAATGCCCTGATAATTCATGAACTGATACTCTTTTATTTTCCATATAGTTAAAAGCTTTTCTTTTTTTATTATCTTTTTCTCGACTATTTATCGCATCGATCGATTCTCATGTTGATTAATTTTCATAGGTTCCGATATGAGACAGTGGAAGTCTTTCTTTTCAATCCTACATGTATCCCGTTGTATAGTCAAATCCTTATAGTTGTCCTTAGAAAGACTTTTAGTTATACTTTTAATCCTTTGTTTATTATTATCAGGTGATGTTAATGTTGAAGTTGTTTCATTAAAATTAGGTGTTTCATTATCAAATGAAGATGAAGAACTTATTTCTTCATTCAATAATTGTGGTGTATTAAGTTGAGAAGAAAAATATTTATCATCGCTTAATATTGATGATTTACTACTGGAAGGAGATGTTGTAGCACTTGCAGAATCTAATTGTTGTTCACCAATGCTGTTTAAATAATTAAAAGAATATTGATAAAAAGGAACTTATAGTAATGATTTTTGTTTTAAATAAACCTTTGATTCATTTCATTTAATACTTTTGAAATTTGTTTTTGTGTATTTTCCTTTGAATATCCAGTACAAAGACAATCTAATGCTTTAGCTTCGAGTATTTTAAGAATTAATGAGTTGTATAAAGGTTCATTAATATCTGTCGATGTTAATAGATTTGAACTCGTCATTTTATTCGGTGTCATACGATTTATTAATTTACGAATACTTCGTTTTATACTATGCTTTTTTCGACTTCTACTCGAACCAATATAAGGTGATGAGATCAATGGTGAAGTAGAAATAAATGAATCGCTGAAAAAGAAAACAAATACTCGCATGTTGTTGAGTAGTCTATCTTTTATAAATCAATATTAGACCTATAAAGTTGTGAAGATTTTGGAGTTCTATGTGAAGGATTATCATAATTTTGATCATTATCAATTTGATGATGAGAGTATTTATTGGGATTAAAAATATTATTATTACATCTACGTCGTCTCCAACGACGACAACAAGGAGCACATCGATCGAACCAATTTGTAAGCTTTCTATCTAAAATAGTTTTTGAGAAAAAAAGTTTGTTTTTTTATAAATCTTATCAAATTTTCTACAAATATACTATTTAAATTGTTTATATTAGGCGTCATTGTTCGGAATGGATTTTGTATATTTGTTAAATTTTTTTGTTGTTGTATTTTAAAATCACCTTGTTCTTTATTATCTAATAAATTCTCAATTCCATAACGTAATCTATATAATTCCTCTTCACATACATTTCGTTCATGTTCTATTTGAGATATAGTTGCATTTCTATTACTATCACCAGCAGCTGGATCATAATTTTGATAATATTTAAAATTTTTATGTAATGTTTTTGTTGTTATCGATTGATTAATTCCATGATTATTTTGACTTAAATATATTGAAATAGTCTTCATGACTGAGACAAAAAAATAAATTTTAACGACAACATGAGTCAGGAGGAATAGTCGCCTATATGGAGCGTCTTCATCTCCTCCTCTCACCAAGCGATCGAAGAAAACTCATGAAAAAAAAGATCTAATATTTTATTATTATTGGCGCTTATGTTTTTAAATTTTCATCGTTCATTTTTATTCATCTAATAATTCTTCTTTTTATTCTTCATTCTGTTTATTAAACATAATGACCTCTATATCTACTACTACTACTAGTAATAATAATAATAAAGCATTATTAACCAAATATCCGAAAGCGAATGCATCAGTTATAAATAATGATTATTTAAAATCAAGTACTGATCAAAAGAATTTTATTCAAAAAACATCAATACAACCTTTTAAACGACACAAAATATCACACACAGACTCAATTAATAAAATGATAACTACAACTAATATCGATATGGATATTCAAATGACACAAGAAAATAATAATAAACATTTAGCAGAAGAATTTTTCTTTCAATTACATCCTTTCAGTGATTTAATACTTATTGTGGAAGGTATTTTGTAATAAGAAAAAAATGAGATGAATTATTTTTGACAATAAAAAAAATTCTTCTAGGACAAGAATTTTATGTCGATAAAAGTGTCTTATCTTCTGTATCAAAAGTATTTCAATTATATTTTCAAGAAGAAAATATTAATTCAATTGAAATTGTTGATGTCTCATCAAATGATATGATTGAATTACTTCAATTTTTATATCCACAATTTCAATGTACAATAACTTATCAAAATGTAACTGGATTACTTATTCTTGGTATGTTATCAATAGATGAATATATGATTTTAATTTCATATGAAAATTAAAATATTATTCAAATAGAAAATGAACACAGTTTCACTTCCAATGTACTAGTTATAGCAGACTATTTCTATATGGGTACCACCTTATGCTGAACATAGGACACTTATTTCTTGTCCCATGAATAATAAGAACCTTTATAATGTGAGCAACATAAGTTTAGAACAGCTGTACTTTTGAATTGTCTTCTGGATGGTAAAAGGTAGGAAAAATTTGAAAAGTATTTGAATAGCTGCAAAAACTCTCTGTCAGGATTGTTGAATTTAAAAACTGAAATCAAACTGCTTGGATGAGAATATCAGAAAACTAAGACTCCCAAAATCAATCTTCTGATATCCATTTGACGCTTTCTGGTAACGGTTTTATTTGATAGAGCAAAATAAGATGTTTCGACTCTCTCCATAACGTTCCTTCATTGAACTATATTCAATTTACAGAAGATTCAAAAAGCATTTTTTATTGTTATGATAAAATTTCAATTGTTTCGTTATTTTTGATACTTTAGGACCTTCTTTAAATTCAATACAGTTCTCATAAGGAACATCCTGAAGTGCACCGAGCAATCTTATTGTCTGTATCACATAAAACCATTTCTAAAAAGCTTCAAATAGATGCCAGAAAACTATGTTGAGGCGTCTCAGGTTTTCAGATATCGTCATCAAAGCAGTTTTATTAGGTTCATTAATCCTGATAGAGAACTCGTTCAGTTACTCGCATGTTTTTTCTGATTCTTACTAGTTATTACTACAAGTTCTGACGTGACTGCTGTAACTGACGGTTATTACGGCCACGGTCGTCATCGTTTCTAGTTTTGCTTAAAAATTCGTGACTGTCACTGAACTTTGGTCACAGTCATTAAAATAGCCACATATTCTGTATTTCTAATACTTTGTTAGACATGCCACAATACAGATGATCTCGTTTTCTTGCATAGATCCAGTATCTGCAGCTATGTTTATATGCACTAAATGACGTACATGAATCAGATGTAATATAACCATCACTTATATTTTGAACAATAACCATGCTAAAGTAAAGATAAGCTTCAGCTGTATGGTCCTTATCGTTTTGTTTCGAGAGAGTTAACACAAATATCTTTGGCGCATATAAATTATACTAGATTTCTGTTTGACAACATATTTCAAATTGCAGTTGAGTTGTTCATTATTTGCTTGATGAGGCAAACTTTGTTACTCAACTATTTGATTCCCATAGTAGCAAAAATGCTATATATGTTTTATAAGTATTTTTGCACAACATAATTTATAAAACTGGTTATCTAATATATGGAAATGAAGCAACGAAGAATCGATCAATTAATGAACAGATGCACTCATGTGACCCTGCCTTGAAAACCTTTTTAGAATTTACTTTGAAGTAATATATATGATTTCAAAATGAACCAGTTAAAAATCCGAAATTCTTGTTAGCGATGTTCTCCTTCTCCATCTAATAAGAACATGACTCTCTTCAAAGAAAATGTTCTAGAATATGCTTTAACACTTCTGAAAAAAGTGCAAATAAACAGTATTCAACATTTCTTTCACTCTGCTTCTAAAGATGGTATATAACCGTTCACGAAGAAAGTTCTAAAATTCTCTCAAATATTCCTTAATGTAGTACGTTTCATTTAAAACTCAACGGATTAATATGAAATTCATTTTGGTTTTCTTTTTGTTCACTACAAAATATTCTCGTTACTGTTACTCATAGAACCTGTATATTTAAACCTCAACAATAATACATTTATTGGTTTACATAGATATTTCCTAACAAACTAAAACCAAATTTCGTGATTCATAGTCACGAACCGTGACTGTAACTGAAAAACTTCATGACGTCAGGCTATACTTCTATTACTCACAGACGGAATAAGAGAAAAAATGAGGTTATGTGAATTGCATGATAATAAACAATTATGAAACACATAAATATAGACGGAATAACCTTGCATATTTGACAGAAATACAAACTAATATTAGACAACAGCGACAAAGTGCGATGTAACAGGTTGTCGTTTTTATGCTAATTGCTAGTGATATTAAATCACACCAACGCGTACTGATTTACTTTTCAAAAAAAAAAAAAAAAACGTTGAACTTAGAATAAAGAAAAATTTAATTTTAGGCAGCCGACAAACGATTACAACTGGATACTTCTAGCAAGTGGTCTATAAAGAACGGGTGTCTTACTATTTTGACTATAGATCTTTTTTCTCTTCCACTTCAAGACTTGATTGTTTCTCCAAAAGATGCATTATAAAATTCTCAACAAAACCTTTATTACATTAATTTTATCGTAAGATAAGGAGTAAAATTAAACGAAGAATACTTAACCAATGGACATGCACGAGCTTAAAAAGTCGTTTTGTCTTAAAAACTTTGGTATATTTTAAATAATTATAAACATTAAAAAAATCAAAACATAAAGATGCTTTTAAGTATCTTGACATGTACTGTTTCGTGGCATGAAGTTTAAAATCCGTTCAAATCAAAGTTTTCAATGAGAAATTCTACATTCCAAAGAAACTCGGTTCAAATCAGTCAAAATCTACTATTTCTTTTATTTCCTTTTGCCAGTTGAATTTACTTAGAAAACTATTAGATAAGCTTTGGCTGCTTAACTTGATACAGTAGTCATTTTTCACCAAAATGAAAAAAGAAACACTTGATTTCAAACCAGCGATTTCGGCTTCATTATTCGACGTCTTTTTTCAACTTTGAAAATTAATCCATTTCTATAAGTTGGCTATTCTTTGTTTTATCTTACTCCTTACCTTCCTACAGAAATCAATATGCTAAAGTTTTTTTTATGAAGAATCTGACGACACATCTTTTAGAGGTCTCAAGTTTGAAAAGATATTCAATAATGGACACTTTCGGTCGGTTCTAATAGTGTCCATCTTAGAAAGATTTTACTGCACTTAAAAATAATCTGAATCTTATTCGATCATTAAAATTTGAAGAATTTTCAAAATAGAAAACATTTTTTATTTCAGCTCGTCGTTTCGAAATAAACTTTATTTCAACAGCATGTCGTACATTTATTTTACTTTACATATCAAAATTTAATTATGTTCATACAGATTCGAATGGTATTAATTTAATTGAACAAGAAAATGGTTTACGTATAACAATTTCATCTATTCTTGATATTTTATGTATATGGTATCGTGAATTTTATTATATGAATGATCAATTAGCTTGCGAAAATCTTCTTAAAAAATTATCTCAATGTAATATTATAAATTTTAATTCATCGAAAATTTTCAATGATTTAGAAGAACAACTTAAATATAAAATTTTTCAAATACGAGCAAAATATTTAGAAACCTCACGTACATCTACTATTTCCGATGCTAATTAATATAAGAAAAAACAAAAAAAACAAACTGCCGTCGTCAGTGTTACAATTGTCACTTTCCCATTTTTCTTTTCTCTTTTCTTTTTTTTTATTAAACTATCTCTTCACTTTTTTTTTTCTTTCTAAATGAATCTATAAAATAAAATGGAATAAAAAAAAACTCTAGTTGTCATATTCATCAAACACATCTTCAATGTGTTAAAAAGATGAAGAAAAAAACTATTTGAATATCAAACAATAATTATGGCATCATCAACAACGGACTCTTCGGCACCAAATTTAGCAACACTTTTATTAATTAAACGAAAACTAGGCGCAAAAAATTCTGATAAAATAAGCGAAAAACAAGCTTCACCAACACTTCAAACTACTACTATTGCTCATTCAAATGAAAAATCATTTTATCGTCAAAATATGTCGATTGTAAATCCAACAACCACCACAACAACAACAACACCTACCAATATACAAGAATCCCCAAAAGTTAGTCGAAAAAACAAACAAATTGAAGTAGAATTACTTGATAAAAAAATGGAAGAAATTAATCGTAAACAAGAAGTAAAAACAAATGAAACATTAGTCACATGGAAAGGTTTTGATTCTCTTAATTACGGATTTGTTCTCGACTCTAACATGCACAAATCAACGCCTTTTCCACCTACGCCAACAAAACAAGTAAATTAGTTCTTTTTTGATATTAAATAAAAATTTATTCAATTGTATTAAACATTGTCTTCTTTCTAACAGCGTACACCAACACCATCAATAAATATACAATCAGCATCAGTCAAAAATTCAGAAAAAACCATTATTGAAACACGAAAACAAGAATCACCCGTGAGTCTGCCACCAATTGAAAAATATCCATCAACAATATCGAAACAATCAACTCCTCAACTTATTGATTCTTCCGTCAAAGATCAATCTAGTTCTAAACTATCATTGAAGGAAGACGAACCTCAAAAAGTAAGTGTAGATAAACAATCACTTTCTCCTCCACGATATTCTAAAGTACATTCTGTGCCTTCATTAAAAAAGTGAAAAGTTCTAAACAAAAGCAATCACTTTTTGAAGTATCTAAAGCACCAATTTCTATTATCGAAAATATCATCAATGACATCTGTGTTAGATAAGACTGAGATACGGACAAAATTGGATAGAGTTTTTAAAAGATTTTGAAATAAGAATAAACAACTGATCTTATATATGTATATTAAATTATGTTCGACTGTAATTGAAGTCTAGTTAAAATCGAGAAAGTCATAGAGTTCGCAAGTGTTCTCAATGGAAGTCTAATTTATCTTGCAGAAAGCTTTTTCAACATGGAAATCGTTTTTGAATTCGAACTCTGTGTAAAAGGTAGATCCCAATTAGATATCATAAATCTCTAGAGGATAAAGGCATCTAAACTTTCCCTTCCCTAAAGAGATTTAAGAAGTTTTACTGAAATTTTAGCCTACAGAGTGTTATGCATAGAAGAAGAAGAAGTGACAATACTTCGAACTGAAATTTTCAAGGACTGCTAATTACAAGTAGGTCTATCTATGAGCTAAAAAAATACCTTCATTCAATTCTTTTATGCACACCATACAATAGGTTGAAGTTCCAGTACAATACCTGTATAACTCTGTAAAGAACGCCTAGGTGTTCTTATCCTTTTGAGTTTTTAATATCTCATTGAGATCTATTGTACACAAGATAATAACCTACTTTTATTAATGTTTATTTGTCTTTGAAGTAAACATAGTCCTTATATTATATGTCAAGTTTAGACATGTTATCCTGCTGTGTTTCAATCCAGAAAAACGAAAGATTTTTTAGCTTATATATTTCCTACAGTAGGATAATAACAGTCTTCTGTCGAAATTTAATACTTCAAAAAATTAAATTATTACTTCATTCGTTCATAAAAACGCGTTCGAAAATGACTTCCTAATGTCGATATAGAAGATGTCCTTAGCGCAAAATATTACGATATAAGTCAGTAAAAATAAATAGTATATCTAGTAACAAAAAGCAGATACATATGTGATGTTTTCTTAAGACAAACGAAAATGAAAATTTATATCTAAATAAAAGAAAATTATTTCGTAGTTTTGCGTCTACTTAAAAATGAATAATGTCGTAGTCTAATTTTGCCTAGGATAAATATCTGTCTATAATTAATACCGCTAATGACTTTATTTTTCTTATTCATAAAGTTCTCTAAGATAAACATTCGTCACCCAAAGTTAGATTATCATTCTATTTTAGTCATTCCAATTTTTTTATTCTCTATCAACATGAGTTCGTATTTCTTTATCGTAAATCTACATTATAGTCATCAAATTTAACTTGAATTATAACATCTAAAATATTTCCTATTCTATTTACAAAAAAAAAATTATTCAATATATTTATTTTTCTTGTTATAGTTCGAACAAGCATCTTTACCAATATCCAATAATCATAATTTCAAACTATTTCCAGATATAAAACATAATGAAATAAGAACTAGAAATGCCTACAAAAGTATCCAACGAAGTATGGATCGTTATCGTTTTCATGTATGGTAATATTGAAAAATAAATTGTTTATTTGTTAACAATCAAAAAAAAAAAAAGAAAAGAAATCATAAGAATTCAACAGTCTGCTTTTATTTTTCTTCTCTGCTGATAAAGCTCTCATTTTGCTTCTATGTGCTACATACATAAATTGTAATTTCAAAGAAAAGATTCATTCGATTTGTATATACAGAAGGAAAGTTATTGAACGCTTATTTTGTCCTTTTTCTTTGCTTGTTTTTATATCTCATCATTTTAAAATTGTAAATGCAATGAGAAGACAAAAAAAGAATGTTTCCATAGAAAAATAATAGAAAAATGTCATATCTTGTAATGCTGATGATGTATTTAAACACTTTGATATCCATTTCGACTACGTCGACGACCAATGAGATATGCAACAAGTACAATAACAACTAATACAGCAAGACAAGCACCAACAATAATTGGAATTAAATTAGAGTTCTTATCAATATCAGCTGAACAAACTTTTTCTAATATGAAAAAACAAAATAAAAAGAGATTTAAAAGAAAATATCTTATTTTTAAATCCATACCAACGCCATAATCATTAAATTCTGTTGAATCATCAATAAATGGTTGAATACGTAAATTTTCTAATTCAATCGATGTAACTGTTACAGTTTGATTTTGATTGAAACCTAGAATTACTGTTTTTGTATTACATCGATATGAATTACCACGTTCTGTTTCAAATAATGATTCATTTGATGAAAATTTATGCACACCTATTCAAATAAAAAGAAAATTAATTTTTTTTACGAGCAAATACACATATATATAGATATGTGTGTGTGTGTGTAACGCCAACCTGCTGTAGCATTTGAATAATTTTTAAAATATGTTTGTTTATCATTTAAGGTTATATAACCATAAACTTTTGTTAATAATGTCTGATTTTTATTATCAACAGAAAAATCTAATATAATTTCTGTGAAACCACCTAACATTGATAGTGTTAATTGATGAACATTATCTGGTGCTGTACATGATACACTATACGATTCATATGTATCATTATTTAATGGAATTCTAGCTGTTGCTTTTGCCTAAAAACATAATAGAAATAGAATTTCCTATTTAAAATAAAAAAACAATAATGGTTACGCCATCAATTTGTGTATAGTTAACATTAAGTACAAGATCAAAACGTCCTGCAAAACATATTTTTTTGGAGTTTTGAGGCCATGTATAATTTGTTGGTGGGGTTAATTTCTAAAATCGAATAATTTTTGTTTTTAAGTTTAAGGTTTATTGTTTTATCTTACATAGGCCGATGAGATAACAAACATAGAAGCTTTTAAAAAAAATTGGTTATTTTCTTTATTTTTTTTTTTTTAATATTATTTTTGCTTACCGAATAAAATAAAGATACAAAGCATTTTAGAAATCATATTGAATTATTTTTATTGTAGACAAATATGAATTATCTAGAAAATTTCAACCAACAACAAGTTCTGTTTTTTTTTTTCTTCGTTTGTTGAATATGAGAACCTTTACCCATTTCATCATGTTTACTTACTGATAATGAAAACGAATGAGTGGGGACGAAGACGAGTGTTACTTCATCACTATCGTATATTCTCTTTTGCCTATGCAATCCACATAGAGTATGGGTAAATGCATGCACGCAATCATTTTTCTTTTCTTTTTTTATTTTATAAGCTGATTTTTACTATACGCAATTGAAACGGAAAGAAAAGGATGAGTCATATATTTTGAAACTTCATCTGCTTCCTTTACGTGTGAAAAAGCAAAACCGATATAAGAATAAGAAAAACGTAATCGCGTTTTCTCGAATTTATATGATAAAACAAACCTCGATCCATAAAGAAAACCAAAGTGTATTCAATAAAAGTCTAAAGAAAAGAAAAAAGAAACAATACGACAGAAAGTAAATGCATATCAACGAGATGAGAAGCAAAAGTGAAGCGCAAGAGAAAAGAATCTCAATTAAATAAAAGAACTTCCAAGAGAAATGAAAGTTTTTTTTTCTCGTTTTGAGCTACCTCATAAAAAAAACAAAAGAAGAACATCTTGACTGATGAAAACTAGTGACTGACATTAAGATAACAGTTCTAATCAAATTACACTTTCACCTTCATTTAAAGAAAAGCATAGAACAAAATCAATTTATCATTAAACAGAAAAGAAAAGTAGCTATTAAAAAAAAAAAAGAAATACAATACGTTCTTCATATTTATTTTATAGACGATGTAATAAAATGAAAAACCTTTTCTATTTGAAGATTAATGATTAAGAAATGTTGTATACGTCGTCTAAAAAATTTATTAAAATTTGATGTACTTTTAGCAAATTTATTCAATTTAATGTATTATTTGAAAAACAGTTTCATAAGATGTTTATTCTTTTGAAATGAATAATAGAATATTCTCTATAATATATAATAGAACAAACATGAAACTAGAGAATAGGCTCGGCGAACGTAGGAAGTATGTATCTCTTTAATAATTTATTTTTATCTAACAAGACGAACAAACTCTTACACTGCTTTCGTAAGACATTCTCTTAGAGCCTTCTCAATCTCGAGACCTTCTCACAAACCTTAATAAAGGCTAAAAAGTAATCATAAATATTTAATTTATTTCTTATCTCGATGAATGACCTAGAACAATAGATTTCAATAATAATTGCTATATTTAAGATAAGAAAGAAACCATATGCAAGTTTTTAAAAAATTTGTACTGAAATAAGAAAAAACATAACTGAATATGGTTTTGGATTTAATTCAAATCTAATAGTACATTTATTTTCTAATTATAATCAGCAATGTCCAAGAATTGAAAAATAAGAATTCTTAAGCTATTGAAGAACTCTCAACAAAACTACGATTATTTTTCGAAACAACTAAAACTTGATCATGAATTCAGTCACATTTTTGCTATTCAAAAAAAAACAAACAAAGTGAGATTTCTTTTCTAAAATAAGTTTCATACTCACACATTCATGTTCACAAATTTCTTGATGGATATGAATGTGAAAACAAAAAATATCGTGTATATTGTGTTTCTTTTTTATTTTATAAATCATAGAACTGACAGAATTTCTATTTGTCCGTTTATGGATACTTCTCATTACAAACAAACATAATGCGAAGAAACGAACTTTGACTCAACTATATCGAATATATGAGCGAAGTGAGTCATTCGATTTTCACCAATCATAAAGTTTTGTTTTTTTTTTCCTTTGTCTTTAATTTCTAATTAGTTATAAACTTATTTATCTATAAATATTTATTTTAATTTGTTATTATAATATTAAATAACAAGAATAAGGAATGTATTAATCCTAAGAAATCTACTTTTTTGTACGTCCATCTTGATTTTTCTTTTTTTTTGTGCCTCTATCGAAATAGAATAGTATAGCGATGTATTACTTCTTTTTTCTTTCGTTAGCTTTTTTTGATTCGGTAATGTATCCCATTAATAATATACACATACAGTACACGTCGACGATTGGTATTCCACAGAAATATGCACATCGTCGTGCTCTATTCTGGATGGTTGAAGTAATCATTATATATATCGCTATTATGATGAGGCATATGAATTGAAGGTTTTTTTTTCATATACATACATATACATATTTGAAGATCGAAGGTGTACACATACTTATTTTGCACTTATATTTTTTAGACGATTATTTTGTTTATTTGTATCCTATACAGATAACTAAAAATGTTTCCTGGCTTTATGCAAGCAACAATTTTAGCTGTTATTATTATTCTTACTCAAACAACTAAACATATACATTGTGATGATTCGTCACCGAATGTAGATGAAAGTCATGTTCTTTCATTAACGAAAGATACATTTGATGATGCTGTTAAAAATAATAAATATTTACTTGTTAAATTTGTTGCACCATGGTAAATATTGTTTTATTACAATACATTTATTTTTTCTTTAATATATATATATATATGTATATTTATTTATTTTAAGGTGTGGTCATTGTAAATCTTTAGCACCAGCTTATGCTGCAGCTGCTAAACAATTAGCAGAAGCTGGCAGTGAAGTAAAATTAGCTAGTGTTGATGCAACCATTGAACAGGATCTTGCAAAACAATATGAAGTTAAAGGTTATCCAACATTGAAATTTTTTCTTGATGGTACAGCACTTGAATATACTGGTGGTCGATCACAAAATGAGATAATTAGTTGGTTGAAAAAGAAAACAGGACCACCAGCTGATGAATTAAAAACAGTTGATGACCTTAATAAATTGAAAGAAGCTGGTGATGTTGTTGTTATTGGTGCTTTCAAGGTAATTCTCTTTTTTTCGTTTAAACAAAAAAAAAACAAATACATACTATGCAAAATTGTATAGGATACGGATGGTGATCATGCTGCTGCTTATCTTCAAGTTGCTAAGACTCTTGAAGGTATTCCATTTGGTATTACATCAAATAAAAAGGTTCTTAAAGAACTTGAAGTTACAAATGATGCCATTATTCTTTTGAAAAAAGTATATAATGAATGATATTTTATATAGATATTTATTGAATAATTTTTATATTTAGTTTGATGAAGGTCGTGTTGATCTTACAACATCAATCGATGAAAATTCAATTCGTGAATTTATTCAAGCTAATCAACTTCCAATTGTTGTTGATTTTAATACTGAAGTATAAAAGAAATTATATTATTAATTAAAAACAATAAACTTAAATCTTTTTTTTTCTTCTAGTCAGCTCAAAAAATTTTTGGTGGTGATATTAAAGTTCATACCCTTTTCTTTGGTAGTCGAACAAGTGATACTTATGAAAAACAACGAGAAGAATTTCATACAGCTGCAAAAGAATTTCGTGGAAAAGTAAATTAAAAAATTTAATTTTAAAATCAATTTATTTATTTTTGTTTTTCTATATAGACACTTTTTGTTTTTGTTGATTCGGATGATGTTGAAAATGAACGTGTACTTGAATTCTTTGGTCTTAAAACTTCAGATGTTCCAGCTGTACGTTTAATTACATTACAAGATGATATGACTAAATATAAATTTGAACCATCTGATATAACATCAAAGAACTTAATTGATTTTGTTCGTGGATTTTTTGATGGTAAACTTAAACCACATTTACTTTCACAAGAAATTCCAGATGATTGGGATAAAGCTCCAGTGAAAGTTTTAGTTGGAAAAAATTTTAATGAAGTCGCAAAAGATAAAACAAAAACTGTACTTGTTACATTTGTTGCACCATGGTAAGAATAATAAAAACCAAACAAAGAAATAAAAAAGTCCCGTTTTATTTTTGGTGTTGAGTGCTCTCCGGAAGTAGTTTCTCTAGTCTCTACAATTGTTTCTAACTGCCATTTTAGGTAGAAAGCTAGTTTAGCTGGTGAGGAAAGGTTTCCAAATGATAAATCGATTTTAAGGTAAAACTATATTCAATCCATAGGGTTCAGTGAGTAAATTACTAATCCTAGGTTGAATCGAGCTGCTGCTTCTGTGCTGTTGACATTTCAAATTTTGACCTGAAACTTTACCTACATAAAAGACACCGATTAGATTAGTTTATAGAAGAAAAAATTCAAAATTTTTTAGAATATAGACATTTTACCATGATTATTGTAAAAAAATGTCGATATTTTGAAAGATTCATATTTCATCAATACTTGATAAACAATGAGTGTTGAAATTTTTTCTACAATCTAGTCTAATCGTCGCCTTCATATGGATAGTAGTTTCAGGTGAAAATTCAAAAGTATGATTTCGCTTGATAATGACTCTACTGATTGAATATAGTTCCAGTTCTAAAGCAAATTAACACTTGCGAGTCGTTCCTCGTCAGTTGTTGATACGCTTGAGTTCCTTATAGATACTGATTAATCGTATATCAGCTGCAAGAGTCGATATATGCTAATTTCCTATCGGACGAATGACCTCATTAGTGATTTATACAGGGTCATTTCATGGTTGATTTCACGGAGTTTTGAATAAAATGCCTTGTAAATAGAATACGAATGATATAGTAACTCAGCCATGACGGTAAAATCAAAGACAATATGATTAATTGATGACTGTTTTTCAATTTTAGGTGTGGTCATTGTAAACAATTAACACCAATTTATGAACAATTAGGTGAAAAATATAAAGATAATGCAGATGTTGTTGTTGCTAAAATGGATGCTACTGCTAATGAACTTGAAGATATTAAAATTCAAAGTTTTCCAACAATTAAGTATGTTTAAAAAGATATTCATTTTTTAATATTTTTCATGTTTTATTATCATTTTTTTTTCGTAAAGACTTTTTCCAAAAGGCTCGGATGAAGTCATTGATTTTCATGGTGCACGTACAGTTGAGGGTCTTTCAAAATTTATTGATTCAAATGGTGCAGAAAGTGGAACAGCTCCAACTACTGAAGAGGTAAATTCAAAGGAAAAAACAAAAAGTTTAAATTATAAAAATTTTTGTTTTTTTTTTCTTTTTAGTCTCCTGAAGAAGGTGAAGAAGCTGATGAAGATGAAGAACCAATGCATGAAGATCTATAAACATTTTAATTTTTTGAGATTATCGAGTAAAACAAATGTTTTTTGTTCTTTTTCGTTTTTTGGTTACGTAGTAATATCGTTATTAAGTTAATTTATTTATAACAAATGGCTATTCGTAAAAATTTTTACTCATATTCTCTTATGATCAACATTTTTATATTGTTTTCATGGTGTTGATTTCGTTAACTGTTATTTGTACTTTTTTTTTTCTTTTTCTTTTTCTCATTACGAACTTCATAGGAATTTATTATTGACAAGAACCTTTGATTGAGCCTCAACGAAAAACAAGACACTTATTTTTTATGTTTTATTAGCATTTCTTTTTCTTTTTTTTTTGGTTTATTCATTTCTGTTCTTTTTATTCATAGAGTAAGTGGTTTTCTTTTATTTATAGAAAAATAATATTTCAAGAGAAAACATTCGTAACTATTGCAATCATCTATATCATTCTATATGTAATACTTGTTTTCTTTTTACGTCTATTGTGGTTTCGTTTGTTTTGATGATTATTGTGTCTATTTTCGGTTGCCGTGTTTTTTGTCCTTGTTTCATTGGCTAGTGTTCTATTGTTTGATTTTTATTTTTCAATCTGTTGCTAATACACATGTATGAATGTGCGTGTGTGTGTATGCACGTGAGAACAACGCAAAAAAGAAAACGAAGATTTTTTGTTAACATTTATTATAGGATGGCTCAGGAGATTTTCTTTTTCGAATTTGAAAAAAATTTTTATTTCAAAAACCGAAACAAGAGATTTCTCAATAAACTGCGATGATATTGAAAATAATTAGTTGAATAAATGACAAGGTTAAAAAGATCGTTATGTGAAGTTATGTATGAGAATGAAATACTCAAATTCTGCATCCTTCAAATGAAAGGTTACAAACAAGAAACGTGTAAAATAAAATGTCCTATATAACTATTAATTGGTATATCATTAAAATTGATATTTTGTTTTCCGTATGAAAGATAAGTCAACTCGAGATAAAGATAATGCATTTGGTCTTATGAGTAAACTTTCAAAACAAAAAAATAAGTATTACAAGAGAACTCTTACGAATGATAAATCGATTTTAAGTCGAAACTATTTGCATTATGTAGATTCGAATAAGCTATGAGTCTCCGAAAAAGAGTTCATGTTCTTAGCTTATTGCTAGGGAGATACTACGTTTTTATCGTAGTTTTTAAATAAATACCACGGTTCTTCTCAGGAAAACTCTTTTTTGAATTTACATTTGAAAATTTGCATTGAGACACATCTTGTCGTTGTTCCTATCCTAAGATGCATCTATGATAATAGTGCATCTTTGACATCGCATATATACATAGATGGCGAAGCCACAAGGCTTGGGTATGCTCGAACAATTTTTCTTGTTCCATTAAATTCATAGATTTGAGCAAGGTATAACATTTTTTGTTCAAACGACAAAATTTTTCGTCGCCTCAGGTAACTACTTTTAATATTTTTTACTCGAGCGGACTTAAAAAAACGTTTTGTATAAGTATTGAATCATACGCTGTCAATGAAATGAAATGGGGAATCCTTCATTAGCAGTTAAGAACCGTATGAAAAATTTGGGCTAGATTCCGTAGAATCTGTCTAAATTTTTTTTTCGTTTTCAGTGGCTAAGATTACATGTGTATTAAACATTTGCAATAATGAGTAAACTCACAATGAAACATTGTTATTTTTGTAAAGACACTTCTACTTCACCAATAAACTTTTTTTTCGGTAAAGCAGATCAGAAACTCTTCTTTCAAAGACTCGATTTAGATGAACATTAATGTTCACATGTTTCTTCAACTATATGTTTTTTAACGCAAGTTGCAATTTGTTCTGTGATCTTTACCACTGTTATACGTTGCAAAATATAAGTTCGATAAAGAAAACACAAACTGTACTTTATCTAAATGGCATTCAAAACCTTGTCTTTCCTTATTTTTAATTTCCAGATGTGAATCTTAGAAAAAATTATGAGTCTACCTTAGAATCAAAATGTTTCAATCCCTATGCTCATATAAAGCAGTAGATTTGATGTTCTTATTTCGGGAGAGAAATAAATATCAAAAGACCTAGAGCTTTCACAATAAGTTACTCTGTTAAATACAGTACTCGATGCTGTTTATGGTTGCATAGAAATTATCAAAGCAGTAGAATATTTTAAAATGATTTGTAGCTCAGTAGAAATTTATTTTTTATCCTAAATAAAGTTTTTACATATTACTTTGGCATAGAATTGAGCGAAGTTTAGGTAATAGAACGTTTCAAATACTTCAGTTCTATAAGCAAGGATGTTTTACTTTATGTCTCTTTCATACTATGCTCGAAAGAAAGCACATGTTATCTCGTGATATATGCATGATGATGAAATCATATTTAAAACATGAAGAATCTAAACAATGTTTAATTATTATCTTTTTTAACGTTGTAATTAGTCGAATGATGTTTTCACTTGATAGAATGATAATATTTCAAAAGAGAAGAGAAATGCTTGAAAGTAGATAGTTTTACCCTTCAAGCACATAATTCTACCATTGATCTAGTTTACACACCATATTGTATGAATAGAATAAAATATACCCATGACTAGGGACTATAACGACATAGAGAGTGAACTCTACTAGTGCCTCAATTTTTCAATTTTTTTCGTCGCAATATATCGATAAACATGTAAAAAGTCTCTATTTCTGCACTAAAATAAAGTTCATCTGATTAGATAACGTCAATTTCATGCATATCAAAGTGTTACGATTCGACTGTACAGATGTGTGAGACCAAGATTTGAAGATTTGACGTACCAAGACTAGACAAAAAAATTTTCTAACCGATAATAAACATTATACTGAAATATTTTATAGTTTACAGCGAATTATCTTAAAAATCATAGCAATCAGAGCATGATTTAAGACAGATACCCAAAAAAGAAGTGATCATCGACAAGATAAATCAAGAAACAATTATCGAAGGATTCTCTCAGATATGATACAAATAAACTCTGAAATAGTTCTCTCTAGGGGTTGAGGGTGAGACCCGAAAAACTGACATCATTGAGACAATAATCGCAAGCAAAAACACTTGATTTCGCACATCCATATTCAGTTGAGACTGACGAGGGAATATTACATACTGTTTAAATGCTTTCTTCTTGAGAAAATTGCGATTTGATCGGTTATGATGAATAGTATACAAGTGTGTTTTTAGTCTTCCCTTGTTGGATTCTGAGCGCTTTCTTTGATTTTTTCCCCTATTGAACATAGAATCGTTGAGAATCTGGATAATTACGATTTGAGCTAAAATTTCCGACATCTGTAGATCTTATGGGTACTAGAAAGTTTTCAAATTTTGAGTCAGAACAAACATATCCTTGCTAATATATTTACACTTAAAAAGAAACACCTGTTTTGAGCTGTGTTTCAAAAGAAGAGCGTTTCTATGACAAGCTGATACTTCGATGTTGATACATCCACCCGAGCTCAAAATTTAATCATCTAGGTTCTCAGCAATTCTATATTCATAAGTCAAAAAGCAAACACCAGAAAAATAAACCAAAAAAAAAGAATTTTTTACCATTAATCAAGACTGATCAAATGACAATAATCTCAAACGAAAAACGATTGAACAGAAGGGAAAGTTCCCATGTAAATCTAATAATGTCGAATTCTGGTGAAGCTCAAGCTTTAACAAACTACATGTTTTGTCATTCATTTTTATTTCATCAAATTTAAACAAAAAAAATTATTGATTAATATTTGTTTGAACTTCATTTTATTCGTTATATATTCTAAAGAAAAAACAAAACACACGAATTAAATTTTTATTCATAATCATAATAATATTATATTAATGATAAGATTTATTTTCAAAAAAAAAAAGAAACAAACTACTACTAGAAAAAAAAAAACTTATAATTCATTTGTTTCTTAACGATTATTCAAAGCATGAATTGACAAATAATGTGGATATTCATGTAAAATTACTAATCGATCATCTTTAAGGCAACAAGTATTTGTTGGTTTTGATTGTCGATGCATTGTTGATGTTATTTTGTCATCACCTTCATTTATTAAATTAATTGCTTTTAAAATTTGTTGTTTACCATTAAGATAAATAAAATTTCCATTATAATTTGTTGATTCAATTCTTATATAAACTTGATTAATTGGTTGTATGTCATCTATTATAAAATCACAATGTAATTCTTTTGTTTCTCGATGAATACTTTGTAAATGTATTTCATCACGTTCATTTGAATAAATAACAATTAAATAATTATTATCACAGGTTACGTCTAATAAATAAAGTCCTTCATCTTGTGAAAGATTAATTGGATTAAATAATTTAATTTGTTGAATAAATTTTAAATTTTTATATTGATCATTTAACTGGAATTCTACAAGATAATTATCACCTAATATACAATAAACTGTTTGTTGATCACAATGAAAGCGACGTAATGGTAAATGATTTGTTAATTTACCTAAATTATATATAGATAATAAATCCCGATTAAATAAATATATATGACAAGTATCATATGTTGATATTAAAAAATTATCAATATTTTCACAATATGTTATATCAGATATATTTGAACTAACATTTTTTGGCCATTGTATAAATAATTGATGATAATTTTTTTTATTATGTTCATGTTTTAAAGCCATTAAAACTTTTAATTTAGAATTATATATCAATAATTCATTTCGTTTTGTTGAACTCGATAAACAATTATATGCTGTTTCACATTTTTTAAACATAACTGTTGAATGATTAGTTTGATGAAATTGTTGTAAATTGAATAATTTATTAACATTTGATTTTTCTTGTTCTTTATTATCAGATGATGTTGATAATGGTCGATAATCATTTTCTTCTCTTATAAGAACTTTATAAGCATGAACTAATTTTAAAACTGTATCATCATTAACAGTGTGCGCATTTGTAAGTTTTTGTTGTTGTGAACGTTGTGTTATTGCAATAGAATCAATAGAATATTCCGTTATTCTTTCTTTTTCATTGTAAAGTTCACGATTTTTTTTAATAAGAACAGGAATTATTGTTTTATGTTTTTCTGCATATAATTTAGTTGAACGTTTCGGTGTTTTGCCATTTGTTATTGTTGTAGGTTTATTTAAAGTATGAAAAGATTTTTCATCTACATGATCAGATAATGATTTCAATGCAATATCATCTTGATGGTCAGTTAATGATTTCAATGTAATATCATCTTGATGGTCAGATGATGACTTCAATGTAATATCATCTTGATGGTCGGATAATGATTTCAATGTAATATCATCTTGCTGGTCAGATAATGATTTCAATGTAATATCATCTTGATGGTCAGATAATGATTTCAGTGTAATATCATCTTGCTGGTCAGTTAATGATTTCAATGTAATATCATCTTGATGATCAGATATTTTTGAGTTAGCTTTTGAAGATCTTTTTGCCATTTGCATTGAAATAGATGGTGTTGTTGATGATGAGGAAATACTATGAATTGATTCACGTCGTTCTTTAATGATTGGTTTTAATGGTATTTCTGTTGTCTTTAATAGTATATCCTGAGAAGACATATATTCTAATTGAATTTTCTTTTTTAACTCATTTTTGGTAAATGCTTCTGTATTTAAATGTATGCGTTTTTCAATTTTATTTGATTGGCAATACGTATTCAAATTTTCAATTTGTTCATTTATATCAGATGATAAATTTTGATTCTCGATTTGAGTATTTATATTTTCATGTTTTCCATTAATTTCTTGACAATATTGATCATAATATTGTGTTATTTCATTTGTTTTTTCAATAATTTGTCCTATTTGTTCATCTATACTTAATTTCCATTCATTTAATTGTTCATAAAGATGTTCAACATATGTTTGATTTTGTTGTTGTATTGCTGTTGATTGAAATTTTTCTTTAAGATCAAGTTCCTTCGAAATATCATTATCATTATACATAATTTTTCGCCTTCAATTCTTCTCTTTTTTTTTTCAAATAAATGATAAGTAACCAGACCAAACCAAACCAAACCAAGTAAAAGAATGAAAAGTATGTGTAAGATCTTACCGCGAACATTTTGAAATATATGCAGACATTCTTTATCAGATAGTGTAAAGATAAGAAAATTACGTTTTTTATTAGAGCTGATGTTTGGTCTTTTAAAACTACAGGACACCAGGAATTCATGATATGTCAACACGATAAATAATATATATTGTTGAGATTTCTGAAAGTTATCAACTCTGAAAAGTTTAATGCAGTAAAATTTCGAAACATGCGATTGTCATTTTTGTTTGTATAGAATTTTGAAACTTCGTAGTTTAGAAAATCTTACATTTTTACGTACCGAAATAAACTATCATAACCTTGCATATTTGTAATATGTAATCGTCTTAGTGTTAGTAAGATATATCAAATGATATGAATGACTATGAGTTGAAGATTATGGACAAAAAAATGAATAAAATTGAAATACTGTTATTTTAATGGTAAATAATCGTTTGATTAAGAGAGGGTCCGCCAGAATATCGACCAAATTTTGACGGCATCGTCATACGTCAAGATTTTGATTTTGATCTAAAGTTTATCATTCGAAAGTCCGTGGAAAGTTATGCTTAAATCCTAATTTTCAGCTCTTTCTGGAAATTCTATCAAGATATATGAAATCATCTTTGAACCTATCCTCAAACGATATTTTATTATTTCGATAAAATATAAAAATTCGATTTAACACTTTATACCAATAGATTGTACTCTTGAATATCATTACTTTTACTGTCAAATAAGGTATTTTGATTAGATCTATCAGATACACTACTATAGATTCGAAATTTCAAATATAAATCGTGATCTAATGTATCATTTTTTCTCTAAAATACATGCAAAAACGACTATTTTTTAATGAAAATTTTTGTATTTTTGACTTATAAGTATACTAAGATGGTTGCCTCCCAAAAATCTTTTACCATCAAAAGATAGCCCGTGAAAAACTGCATCTTTTGATATACAAACGAATAGGATCGCGCTTGTTATGGTGATTCAATTTTTCCCCACAAGTATGGGCACTATATGGTATTTTCCTGTTTTGGTCATTCTTCTTGGTTTTCGTAGAATCTTATCCTATTACTGTGACTGAAAATGTACATATGATTTCAAATTTGTTTTCAATGTTAAAATATGAGTCTATTTCTTCTATAAAATAATATTTTCTCATATCAATGACTCATTTCAAGGTCCTAATATCTTATGATTTGCAAGACAAACACTGGCCACTCAATGAAAATTTTCTTCTAGACAGTTCAAAAGAAATATGTTTATTTTTGAATTAATTTCATCTTATTTTTCTATTTCTTTCGGTCTTTTATTATTTAA